TAACCTAGCAACAAAAGACAACTAACCTAGCAGCAAAAAAGATAACTAACCTAGCAATAAAAGACAACTAACGCATCAGACAACTAACCTAGCAGCAAGAAAGAACTAACCTAGCAACAAAAGCCAACTAACCTAGCAGCAAAAAAAAATTAACCTAACAACAAAAGACAACTAACCTAGCAACAAAACTCAACTAACCTAACAGCTACAAATAACTAACCTAGCAACAACAAACAACTAACCTAGTAACAAAACACAACTAACCTAGCAAGAAAGAAATAACATAACAAAAGACAAATGGTCAACGGTCAACGTCGGAAGTCAACGCCGGAGTCAACGATCAATGCCAGAAGTCAACGGTCAACGCCGGAAGTCAACGATTTTCGCCGGAAGTCAACGGTCAACGCCAGAGTCAACGTGTAATATCCCATTCAGTAACTAATAAAAGTAATTATTCTAAGTATGAACAAATTACTTTTATTAATGCTCGTTCCTAGTTTCGAGCCAGTTATTAAGTTATTCAGTTAAAAATTCAACTTTAAGTCGAAAGTATTCTCGGTTCAATATTATTCAGTAATCGAGCCAGTTCAGTAATTAATTAATTCCGGTCTGTTTATTTTTATAAATGGATTTATAAGACAGATTTAATTAATATAAGATGACGAATAATCGAAATTGAGTATATTTTGATTAATCGTTTAAGATAAGTAGTGAACTGAAACCAAGTATGTTCGGTCATGAGTTGAACTTAATTAAGAAATAGCCGAGCCTTAGTACTAAATACTTAGAATTTTTTTAAGTGTTTAAGTCATCAAGATAAGATCATAATATTGAGTTTTAGCATAAGTTGATACAAGTTAAGTCTTGAAGTAAGGTTAAGTATCCATGAACATTTAAGTGATAAATGTTCAAAGACGTGAGAAAATTTATTTAGACATTATAGTCTATTTAAAATTATTAGAAATCAAAATTTTTAGAATTTTCGGTTTTACGGTAATCGTTCGGTTTAAGTCCAAATGTGGTTCAGTAAATGTAGAATATTTTAAGATAATTATATTAGATCCTAATAAGCAATATGTTCATTAAATTGAATGAAGAAAAAAATGTGAGTAAAGAAATTAAATTTTAGAATTTTTAGTTTTACGGTAAACGTTCGTTTTAAGTCCGAATTGAGTTCCGTAAATTGTATTATTCTCGGTTTATTAGCATGATCCAAGACCATATATGAGCATTACTTTTCAGTAAAAGAGTTTTAAAAATCAGCCATTTTGAAAAAAAATGCATAAGTAATAAAAAAATAATTTTTATTATTTTTATTATTTTGTTCCAAAGATTTTTATATGATGAATGGTGACATTTTTTCAATAATATATGGAATCAATTACATTACATTAAGCACGAAATTTTGGTCATCAACTGGTGAGAATGAGATGAGAAAATCACAACAAAGTTTTGCTAAGTCTTTAAGTTAGCATTTTTTTCAACAATTGATGAGAATTTTATTAAACTTGGTGGAATAAGTTTTATCTACCAAAAAGCTCACTCATGGCTATAACTAAAGGCCATTTTTTATGATTAATTATGTTTGGATAAGAATACAAGTTAATCATAAAATAGTTTATGATTAATTAAGTTTATAAGTTTAAATTGTTTATTTTGTTCATTTCTTCACTCCATTATGATGTTTTGCCAATTTGTGCCTATAAATAGAGGCCTAAAAATCAGAGTTCTCACACCAAAGTTAAGTACCAAAAGTTATATAAGAGTGTAAGAGAGAATGAGTAGTAGAAACTTTGGAGAAGTGAAGAATTTAGAAGTGAAGAATTAAGTTACGATTCTAGCAAGAAGGAGGTAATTTACTTATCTTAAAGTTACATGCTTAAGTTCATGTTTTGATAATGAGTTTACATGTTTAGTAGATGATATTAAGTGTTTAATAATGTTTTTATATGAATTAGATATTAAAGTTTTATATGAATATAAGCATGCTAGAAAATAAGTTATTTCCAGCTCATATATATGTCATATGTGTTCAGTTATTGATAGGTCGAAAAATGTGCGTATTCTATATATTTAATAGTTTATTTTTATATGCTTAATTTATTCGCACTTTATATATTTTTTGACTTATTTATTATTTTGATGGATTTATTTTATTTGATATTTTATGTGTTGTTTTTCAGCATATTGGAGTATTTTTGTAGATAGCGAAATATAGGATGGGAGCTCTCGTGAGTCAGATCAATTAAGGCCTAATTTCACAGCACATTAAAAAAATGGGCCCAAAATTAAGGAAATTGAAGAGCCCAAATACTCACGCCACGCACACAGCAGCAGAATTGAATTGAAGGAAAATTTTTGTTTAGTGGGAATTAATTGCTGAGGCCAATTATTTGCTTGGAAAAAAAGAGTCGTGAGCTTAAAAGACACACATTGCCTGGGAGCATTTTTTGGGGAAAAACGCCGAGAGGAGAAAAAAAAGGCGGAGATACGCAGACAGAAAGAAAAGAAACAGTACAAACACACGCACGCAGGGACAGACAAAGAAGACACCGCGGAGGGAAGCCGCATCCGCACACGAGGGAGAATTTTATTCTCTCTTTTATCTTTTATTTATTTTTATTAGTATATTAGGTTAATATTTTTACCCAGTTTGAGGGGATGTTTGAACCCTAATTTCAGTTTGTCTATGAATTGAATGATCTATTTCTTATCGTTGATTAATCGAGACACCGTATTTATTTTGTCGATGAGTTGATTCATTTTATCTGTGTATCGTGTTTATGAATTATGGTGTTTGATTTGGTTTGTCCAGCTAGGTTGAATATACATGGTTTAATTGCTAGATTTGAGGCTTTAATCCGTAATTGTTATTGTTCTCGTTTCGTTAGTAGTAAACTAGGGGTCGTGCATCTCTAGGGTAGCGTGAACATAAGCTAAATGGTCCGAGCTTTTGCGTCCGTTGCTTACACTGATCTATTTTCCTAGACATTAATGTTGCCAGTGCACTAAATCTAGAGAGCTTATTCTAGGTTGTCCGCTAGTTAGGTTTAGTCGAAGAGCTTATTTTGATTAAATATTTGGTAAGGGAGAATTCGGTTAACAGAGCTTGTTGTTAGCTAGGGTCGGTAATTCATTAGCAATTTAAAGAAAGCGTCGAAATTAATTAACGGTAGATTTAGATTGGGTGATAACTGAACCGAAAAACTGGACTTCTCTTATTTATTTGATTTTTATTTTATTTATTTTTATTTTTAGTTTTATAAATCAATCCCCCCTTTATTTGCTTTCGTAGTGTAATTCAATTAATACGAGATTGTCACAATTTAATTCCTACTCCTCGTGGGATCGACCATTGCTCGCTGCTACTACTAGTTAGTTTTCGGTTAGTTGAGGAAACATATAAATTTAAATTTGCCGCGTCGCGACGCGCGATGAGATTTTTACATAGCTATGAAAAATCTGAAAATCTATGCTTCCTATGATTATTTCTTGTGTAAAAGAGGAGTACATAGGATCAAGAATAAAGTCATTTAGTTTAGTATAACTCAAGATATGAATTTTTAAAGTTTATCATGCAAGCTGAATTTTATGTACTTGTTTCCAGCAGCAACTTTAAACTTGAATAAGTCGAGATATATGCATGATAAAATTATGAAATTTTTATGACATGTCTAAATATGAGTTAAGAATATGACTGTTAAGTTTCATAATTTAAAGATGAGAAATGAATAAGTTATGAATATAAGAAATCATATATGTAAAGATAAGTATATATATGCAAGAATATTCATGAAATGTTTAAGTTGTTAAAATGAGATGATCATGAGTAATTCTCATATAAGTGATGAGTAATTTGATGAAGTTTTGGTATAATATGTTGAGTATACAATTTATAAAGATTGTATTAAGTATGACATATTAACATCATGATTAAATGTTATGAGTAAAAGATGATTATGGCTTGAGATTATTTTCAGTTTCAAGTTAATTAAGTGAAAATTTAGTATAAGCCAATATCTAAAGATTGGGAAATATGATGTATGATGAATTAAGTATTTGATCAAGTTAAATTAAGATAAGTTATAAATCATGTTGATGATGTTGGTAAAAGTAAGCATGTTTTAAGTTTAAATACTCAATCAAGTATAATGTGAAATATAGTTATTTTCACATTTGAGTTATGACATGCTAAGTATAATACAATATTGATGTTTATGAAGACATGATTTATAAGGTTAAGTAATTGACCTTAAGTAAAAGTAAAAAGAGAAGTTAAGTATAAACTTGAGAAGAAGCAAGTTTAATGAATTTCTATAAGATTTAGATAAGTTAATAATCCTAAAATTCTTATTGAGTATACGAGCATATTACTTAGTATATTTGTTTATATTTGATGTAACTTGCAGATATAGTACCAGTACAACACTTATCGTTTTTCAAATGATTTCAAAGACAAAAAGGTGGGGACCCTGAATGGGTATCACATTGAGTACGATATTGATGTCATATGGGATGAGGAGACCATCCATTATCTCAGAGTATATCCTACAGTTTAAGTTTTACGCTTAGGATGAAGAGGCATTAATTTGTTCTCAGAGATTATATCCTAAGTTTTGATGGAGGTCATTAAGTGCCTTAGAAATATCCATCAGAGTGTGCACACGTATCCGATCAGATATCGACCAGTTTAAGTTTCAGTACCAGAACAGATTTCTGGTTACCGATCAGATATCGGTTTATGATTATCCATATTCGTTACTCACCCCCATGAGTTTTAGTTTCAGGTAACAGGTCGAAGAGGAGGTGTGAGTGGAGCAGTGTTGGTGTGGATCGTGGACTCAGATGAAGACAAGCTTTGATACGGACATTTATAACAGTCTGTATAATTAACCAAGTTTTCAAGTATTTCCGCTATGCACATTAAGTATTGAACTTTCATTTTAATGAATTTCAGATTTCAAGTTTTTACCATTATGAGAAATATGATTATGGTATTTTAAATGCAAGTTTAAAGGAAATCTTTTTTATTTATGTCTATAGAAGTATTAGACAAAAGTTTAAAGATAAACAGATTTTCAAGATGATGAGTTTGAGTAGCATCCCGAGTTAGTCGCAAAAGATTTCGAAAGAGTTGAGTATTTTCGAAGTAAAAGTTGCGAAAAATTTACTCTGATGAGCGGGGTGTTACACAACGGTCAATGTTCATAACAATATTTAAATAATTAAAAATAAAGAATTAAATAATAAAAATAAAGAATTATTATTTAAATCAAGATCTAAATCTTGTGGCTAGGAATGAGTCTCACGTCCTCACTTTAAATAATGGGATGCATTGGAACCAATCCCTATATATATATCTCTATCTCTATTTCTATATATCTCTCTGTTTTGCTATGAAGCCAACAGTTGACTCTATAGTGGAGTCAACCTTCTATATACAACAAATAAACCTACCATATTAATAAAATTATATTAGTGTTGTATATAATCAGAGAATATGGTAGATTTATTTGTTGTATATAGAAGGTTGGCTCCACTATAGAGCCAACTGTTGGCTTCATAGTAAAACCGATATATCTCTACTATATATATATATATATATTTGAAGAAGTTACATACCTTTAAATGGCGACAAGTGGCACGTTGTGTAGTTGACATTTGGCATTTTTTGGTGCAACTACTTAAATGCCCTTTTTTGAATAAACACAAACCAATATCTTACAATAATTGAAAGGACACTATGGTAAATTGGATGTATTTTGTAGTTTTCAGTGTTCCGACTAAAATACCTTGTGTATTCAGTTTTTCTGGGGTTGTATGCGTAATTTTCCTTAAGGCTGGAGATATCGTCACGGGATTTGCTCCCTAGAAATCTGCCGAGACGTGCGTCTTCTATCAAGTATGGCTTTTCCATTTTTCCCGCACACGCAACATCACCGACTGAGTGGAGTGAATTGAAGAAAGTATCCATTCCTCTCTCTAATATCCAACCTGGCCAGCTCTCTTTTCGGTGACTCGCCTTCACTCCAACAATCCATCGCCACCACCACTGCCGAATACTGCTCTGCCACCTTGAAGTTCAATCCTCTCGGTCATCGAACACCTATTCATTTTGGTGCTCTGCAAATTGGCTCGCCGGCTCAGCGCTTGCGCACCACTTCTGTCCTGGTGCAACTGCTCATCGGAGTACCCGATTCCCATCCGGTGGTCTCTCTGCACCTCTCCACTTCAGGTATTGATGGCTACATCTTTGAATCTTCCAATATTTTTTCGTTATGGGTTGTTGATTGGTTTTGTGACTTGTGATATTGTTACGTGTTGAGACTCTTCTTCAGAACTTATATTCCCAAGTCGTACCATGTAGATTGATACTTTATGTTTGGGAAGGTTCGATGTGCCGTATGGATGAAGAAGTGCCTGTATGTTGACGTTTCAATTTTTGGTTGATAAATTTTTGCTTCACAATTGCAGGAATCTCAGATGATGTTGCTGTCTATTGCATTCGTTTTCTGCGTCGGTTGATGTAAAATACAATCAATAGCAGCTTTTACTTCTTAGGTTGAAGTTGAACACAAGAAAGAATGGGGACTGCCACAAACAGGTATCCTTTTGATAATTTCAGCGTAAATATATTAAGTTAAATATGTATATATTAATTGAAAAAATATAATAGTGTTTTTGCAATGCAATTAGAAAAGACATAGGTCTTGTTTAACACACAGGTCTTGGAAAGTCTCCCTATACAGAATCCCCAAAGGTACCTTTTTTATCCTTAAAGATTGCATTTTTATTGTTTCATTTTGTTTGTTTAGACAATCAAGAAACATTTTTCATAACTTTATTAGACAGTGAAAGATGTTTCTTGATTGTCTAAACAAACAAAATGTTTCTTGATTGTCTTATAAAGAAACATTTTATTGTAGTTGAGGAGCATCGTCTGTCTGTTCCTCTCCCGACGAACGGACGCATATAAAATATAAAATAATAATTAGTAAATATTTTTTTGCTAACAAATTACATATATATTTTTTAATATATTCTTTAACTATATTTATATATATATATATATTTTAATAAATATATGTATAATTTTTTTAATACAACTAATTATTAATATATATATATATTTATTAATATATCTTTTATTTAACTTTTTTAAGTGAAATTAATTATTATTAATAAGTGAAATTTTTTACCCATTTAAATAGTGATTAATTAATTTAATAATATTTAGTAATTATTATTCTTCTGATAATTAAAAATATTTTTTAACCAATAAATTAATTAATATACTTTTTATTTATTAATATAATATTTTTTTGTTTTAAATTATATTAATTTTTTTCAAATAAATTAATTAATATAAATTTTTTTATTAATATATTATTTTTTCGTTTTAAATTAAAATAATTATAATTTTAAATTATAATTTATAATTTTTCATTATAATTAAATTATAAGTATTATTATAATTTATAAAAAAAATGACCGGACAAACTTTCTGGACGGTTTTTATGCCATCTCAACCGGCCGACCGGAATTTTTTTATTTTTTTTTACTTTTTAAAAAAAAATATCATGAGTAAAATTGTCCAAGAGAAGCGGTAAGTAGTAATAGGGGACGGTAAAATAGTAAATGAGTAAAAATTTAGAGAGAGAAGGAGTCCCTCTGTATCGTTGGGGGTTAACACCTAACTGAGAGAGAGTAAATTGAGAGGTTTTACATTAGATCTGTCCTGGTACTAGGCTTGTTTCAGTTCCGTGTGATAAAGAAGAAAAGCAAAAGGGTTTTTTTTTTTTTGAGTTTGTATTAGAGAGCCCTTTTACCAAATTCAGTGACGTAGGTTGGTGGAAGAAACTTTAGGTACCAACTTTATGTTACCTTGTATATTTTTCTTCAGATCTGTGCTTTAAACATCGGCCCAATAGAACAAAGATTTTTGGCACTCTTTGTGGTTTTATGTTTTGGGGATTTTCCAATTTGGCCATATTTTTTGAATATTTCGATTTTTCTTGTTTGTTTTAGATTTAGTTTTAATTTGTGTGTTCTGATCGAGTCGTAATATTTATAATCCAGTGGTGGCATTAATAGATTTGTATTAAGAACAATTATCTGACAAATTCATGTTTATGTAAGAATATTTAAGATGTTCATTTGATGTTTTCCCTTTTTCATGTCGTCTGTTCCTTTTCAGGCTGCATGCTGAGCAATGGCGAAGTCTTGGGTTTTCGTACAAGTTGATATGGAAATAACTCGCTTGGGACCACACAAAACTGATGTGTTCAAGAATCTTGAAGAAACAATGGGGATCATGTGTCTCAGCAAAGTAGTGGACCAGATACATGGCCTTTTAGGGTTCTGATCAGCAACCAAGGGATCTTACTTCTCTTCTTCAGAAGATTCATTCAAGACAAGCATGCATCATTTTGATTAAATTAATATTTCTGTCACTATAGGAAACTAATTTTGTCTATATCAATCTTTGCATAACTTAGTGACGCTGTGAATGGGGCTGTTACTCGAGCATGCCAGGAGCAACAGAGGAAAATTGAGGTAACAATCTTTGTGGAGACCATTCTCTTAGTTTGCTTATAGATGCTATTCTTGAGTAATCAATCATCAATTCGACTCATTAAATTCTATGATTGCACCAATAAAATAGTCTGGGGTTGTATATACATGGAAATAGTTAGACTGTTTGACATTTGACATGAAAATGGCACTCTAGCACTTATGGTTTACTTGCTGACATTGTTACTATTTGAAATTTGGCATGAAAATGATACTCTAGCACTTATGGTTTACTCGCTGACATTGTTATTTATCTCTTTTGTTCATTTTACATGTGGCTAATTTCATTATTAAGTAAAGGAGTCTGCAGGTATCAATATCATCAGTAATGATTATCAACTTATCATTAATAACTTTTTCTCTTCGCAAGCAGCTACAGTGTTGTTCTGGGGATTTAGACTCACCATTAACTAACAAGTCTGCTTCTGTTGATAAGTTTTTCACTTTGGCCTTGGGTTTTGCGGAAAAAAAGAAGAAGAATGTAACCGATATTGAATTTATTATCTTCATGACTACTGTGATACTTACATTAGTATGTGGACGCATGGGTGAAAGTCAGGAAATGTAACTGCATCATCAGTGCAAACTTGGAATTTTTTTAGAGCTTGTTGACCCAAAACCTATAGTTGTGTTGGGAGCTATGAATTTATTGGGATTCTAATTTCCCTGAGAAAGTGTGTTTGGTATAAGCAGGAGCTATGCAATGTGTTTGTTTACTTAGCCTTTTCTGCAATTTCTGTTGAAGCTCCTGGAATGAATATATTAGTTTTCTAGGCTTATTTTAGTTTTGACACTTTTTAGTGCAATCCTTTGTTAAAAAAAGCTTCATAGTTTTTAGTATTCAAGAGCATAGGTTTCGATGTCAGCGCAGTTAACTGGTTTAGAGGCACTGACAAGTGTTTGTATTTGTACAGATGAATCTTGTGCAAGGAAACATACTCATTTACTGGACCTCATCTTTTCATGGATATCACCTTCAGAGGATGATGGTGGTATTTCCAGGTACTGCATGTTGTTCTTTGTACCTCATCTTACTATTCGGTTCACAATTCATAATGTTTTGTTATCTAGACCCTTATGTTTTTTCTTTGAAAGGTTATCGTTGTTCCTCCAGCTCCTCCACATCCTGACATTTGTATTAATGGCCATATATGCCTAGGTGTATTTTACGTACCCTATCAATGTTTCTTCTTTACCTCAAATATTAGATGTTCTCTATATCATTTGAAAAAGGTCGATTTAACCTTTTACGTCTTTTAGTTTTTCGATTGAGTTTTATTTCATAGACGATGTTATAAACTTGGTACTGTGGTTTGGCTATCGTAATGTTTCGTATGACTGATATTAGATGAATTAGTAGAACCAAAGTTGTTGTGCTTCGAGTTTCTGGCAGTGGGGCAGTTGTTTTTAAGTAATGATGGATCTTTCCCTTATGTAGAGTGTTAATGATTGATGGATAACTTGGTAATTATGGAATAGATGTTTGTTAATGTTATAGCACCTTCACTGCTGTCGTATCTTAAATAAAAATTGCATTTTTAAGGAGAAGTATTGAGACTTGTGACTTCTGCATAAGATTTTCCTTTTTTGTTTATCAAGTTCTGAGTTGATGTCTTTTGGCTGTACTTGGTCATTATCCATTTGAAACTATAATGTAGTTTGGAGTAAGGTTTTTGGTACTAAATTCTGAATGATCAAACATGTTCGTTTATGATGAATAAAATGCAATTATACTGTATTTGCTGTCGGTGATATGGAGGGCAAAGGTTTCTATGAATTATTCATAGATAGTTATTTATGTATGTAATATAAACATCTTATGAACAACTATATTCAGACTCTTCAGACAGTGGTTTTATGGTTTATGGTTTAGCTCATCTGCATGTCGTGTTCAACATATGCTCTATTTTATTTTAGGGAAATGGCCAACAAAGACGTGTCAGAATGCTGTTTTGGAGTTTTTTGAGGGTCATCCTGGACTCATGTCATTTGAGATTGAAGTTCTTGCTGGTGGTATTACTCTACCTTTCTTAATGACATACTGGCCCAATGTTTTCCTTGATGTGAATGAGAAGCTGAAGTTTTCTTACTTGTACTTTATCCATTGGTTTTGCCAATTCACCAAACATGGACTTGATTTGACTTCTTATCCTGTTTGTTATTTGTTGAAAACCCAAAAGCTGCATGATCTTGTTGTGGATGAGCTTTGTAGTCTCCATGTTTAATCTTGCAAGTCTCTGGCAGATAGCTCCTGAGCAGGAGGTTGCATCTAGAAATCCTAAATATAAAAATATATAATAATAATAATAAGTAAAGAATTTATCTCAAATTCACGGCCTAAATGAAACCAGACGAAATATGCCTCCCGTTCTTATTTTTTGGAATTGAGAATAATCTTTCGTTTAATTCCTATCTATAAGAGCTTTGGCGGTATATTTATTTTGGTCTTGGCCCCGGATAGAAGAATTCTTCATTTATCGAAAGTTAAGTATTTTTCTGGTTTTGATTTTGATTTTTTTTAATTTTTTCTGATTTTTTTATATAAATTCATCGAACATTGTTTGTTTAAATTTAGAAAAAAATCTTGTTTTTTATATAATAAATTTTTCCAACAGATGATTTTTACGTAAACAAAGCCCATTAGGCCCAGTCTTAAACCCCCTTTCAAATCCCATAGCCCATCTATTTTTCAAAAAATAAAACCCAGCCCACTCTCCCTCAAATCCCAACGCACGTAACCCTAAAACCCTTGCCCTATTCATCATCATGTATAAATTAGAACAATAGTTCATTGTTTCCTTTAACAATTCATTCCACAATGTTTCGGTTTTGGTGGGCGTAGCCAGTGGTGGAACGACGGCTATCCGCTAAGGCCCGCCTAAGATCTCTTAATCTGAGGCCCCTCACCTTCCATTCCGAACCGTAACTGAATCCGTATTCCGACCCCGTCGCGATGCATTCTCTATTCCACGGTCATGTACACCATCTCGTCGGTTCGCCTATTCTGGTAATCTGCTTACTATACAATCTCGTCCGTTCGCGTATTCTGGTAATCTGCTTACTCGGTTTCGTTCTTTGGCTTCTGCTAATCCCATGAGTTATCTTATGCATTCATCTCCTCTTGGGGTTATGTTTCATTCGAGTACTTATGCGCTTTTCACCACTGGTATGTCTTGGGATCGCCGTCTCTGTGCTGTTTCTACACAGTTTAGTGTTCTTTGCTTCTATTCCCCTCGTTGTTTGTTTTCTGCGGTCATATTTTCTCATGGTTTTTGTTCCCAATGCTATGATGATTCTGATGTTTTGTCCAAGTATTCCCTGGAAAAGTTACTTCCTACCCAAAATTCAGTTCTGGTTTTTGGTAACTTCCCAACCTACATAATAGAGGAAAGGGAGAAAAACTCTAGCTTGGTCCCCTAGGAATAAAGTTCCAAACCGCTTTTTCATTCATAATCATAGGTTGGAAAATGCTCCTAAAACTCCTAATCCTGCTGCTTCTGATCCTAATGCCCCTGAGTCTTAACTGGAGTTTTTTGAGGGTCATCCTGGACTCATGTCATTTGAGATTGAAGTTCTTGCTGGTGGTATTACTCTACCTTTCTTAATGACATACTGGCCCAATGTTTTCCTTGATGTGAATGAGAAGCTGAAGTTTTCTTACTTGTACTTTATCCATTGGTTTTGCCAATTCACCAAAATTCACCAAACATGGACTTGATTTGACTTCTTATCCTGTTCGTTATTTGTTGAAAACCCAAAAGTTGCATGATCTTGTTGTGGATGAGCTTTGTAGTATCCCTGTGGATGATATTATGCCACTGAGCAGGCTGGTATCATATTTCGACTTTGATTGCATCATCTATCTTTATCATAATAAAGGCTCTGTAATCCTGCGAATCCGGGAGATCCACATCCCGTTTTCAGCATCTGGGGTCCTATTGAGGACACCTACTGCAGTATCTAAGTGTACAGTCAAATTTTGAGGGCTGGAAAGTGACTCATTCAGGGCTGGAAAGTGACTCATTCGTATACTGCAGTAGGTGTCCTCAATAGCTCCCCAGATGCTGAAAACGGGATGTGGATCTCCCGGATTCGCAGGATTACAGAGCCTTTATTATGATAAAGATAGATGATGCAATCAAAGTCGAAATATGATACCAGCCTGCTCAGTGGCATAATATCATCCACAGGGATACTACAAAGCTCATCCACAACAAGATCATGCAGCTTTTGGGTTTTTAACAAATAACGAACAGGATAAGAAGTCAAATCAAGTCCATGTTTGGTGAATTGGCAAAACCAATGGATAAAGTACAAGTAAGAAAACTTCAGCTTCTCATTCACATCAAGGAAAACATTGGGCCAGTATGTCATTAAGAAAGGTAGAGTAATACCACCAGCAAGAACTTCAATCTCAAATGACATGAGTCCAGGATGACCCTAAAAAAACTCCAGTGAAGACTCAGGGGCATTAGGGTCAGAAGCAGCAGGATTAGGAGTTTTAGGAGCATTTTCCAACCTATGACTATGAATGAAAAAGCGGTTTGGAACTTTATTCCTAGGGGACCAAGCTAGAGTTTTTCTCCCTTTCCTCTATTATGTAGGTTGGGAAGTTACCAAAAGCCAGAACTGAATTTTGGGTAGGAAGTAACTTTTCCAGGGAATACTTGGACAAAACATCAGAATCATCATAGCATTGGGAACAAAAACCATGAGAAAATATGACCGCAGAAAACAAACAACGAGGGGAATAGAAGCAAAGACACTAAACTGTGTAGAAACAGCACAGAGACGGCGATCACAAGACATGCCAGTGGTGAAAAGCGCATAAGTACTCGAATGAAACATAACCCCAAGAGGAGATGAATGCATAAGATAACTCATGGGATTAGCAGAAGCCAAAGAACGAAACCGAGTAAGCAGATTACCAGAATACGCGAACGGACGAGATGGTATAGTAAGCAGAATAGGCGAACCGACGAGATGGTGTACACGACCGTGGAATAGAGAATGCCGCATTTCTCACAGATCGCGCCCACCAAAACCGAAACATTGTGGAATGAATTGTTAAAGGAAACAATGAACTACTGTTCTAATTTATACATGATGATGAATAGGGTAAGGGTTTTAGGGTTACGTGCGCTGGGATTTGAGGGAGAGTGGGCTGGGTTTTATTTTTTGAAAAATAGATGGGCTGTGGGATTTGAAAGGGGGTTTAAGACTGGGCCTAAACAATACGTAAAAATCATCTGTTGGAAAAATTTATTATATAAAAAACAAGATTTTTTTCTAAATTTAAACAAACAATGTTCGACGAATTTATATAAAAAAATCAGAAAGAATTAAAAAAAAATCAAAATCAAAACCAAAAAAATACTTAACTTTCGATAAATGAAGAATTCTTCTATCCGGGGCCAAGACCAAAATAAATATACCGCCAAAGCTCTTATAGATAGGAATTAAACGAAAGATTATTCTCAATTCCAAAAAATAAGAACTCTGGAGGCATATTTCGTCTGGTTTCATTTAGGCCGTGAATTTGAGATAAATTCTTTACTTATTATTATTATTATATATTTTTATATTTAGGATTTCTAGATGCAACCTCCTGCTCAGGAGCTATCTGCCAGAGACTTGCAAGATTAAACATGGAGATGCAGCAGAAGGGCAACCAGTCAGAGGCTTCATTCGCAGAGATGGAGGAGAGGAGTGGCAAGGTGGGTGTCTTTCATTCAACTTTATGGGTTTGCTGTGGTTGCTATGATGTGTAATTTCTGGGTTGATTTCATGTGGAAATATGTAGACTGTCTCTAGGGTTGTTGATATTACTTTGGTTGTGTTATGTTGAGGAGGAAGGAACTGTTGGGTTTTCTTCTTTATGCGCTTTTAATAATAATATGTCAATAAGTTTAGTGTTTTTGATATTTTTCTTTTTATTTTGCCCATATTCTTTAGATTGATGTGTCCTTTTACCATGTTTTCCTGCATGTTCATTGGTTAGACACCTACCCTGAATTGTGGGGTTTGAAACCATAATAAATTTCTCAGATGCTTTGCCTTTACTCTATTTTTGTTCTCTTATCTCTGCGCCAACCAACCCCAACCCCCAACTAACTTCCGTAGCTATATTTGTTGTAACAAATGAATCATTGTTGATTGATTAAGTAGTGCCTTACTGATGACCGCAGGTGGGGTCATACCTTGAACCTGACCTCTTTAGGTTTAATGGCTCTGATGCACTGTGAACCAGCCCTAGGAAGCCTGTTGGATCCATAAACCACTAAAGGTTTCAACAGATTGTGCTGTGACCATTACCTCTATCCTTAAGTCTATATGCTGCAGCTCCACCCTAAGTATTTGTCCATCATGAAATTGCTTCATGAATCCTGCCATGATCTAATATGTATACAATTTGGAGTAAAGTTAATATCGTTAGCTTCAGGATGCCGAAAGCAGAGCCTTTATCAACCACACTCTGGGTTTATGTGTTCATGTTGTTTTGTCTCATACACGAGGATTCTACATTAGATGATCTTTGAAGGTACTTTCCTGCTAGTCAATTTATTTAATTGAATAAACTTGAACCCATTTCGAATCTAATCACCACATAGATTATGCAAAGGTTGATCTTGAGTCATGATGCTGAAATTTCTTCCCCAGGCATCTGATTGATTCCCTCTCTTGATACTGTACGTACTCGGGTATATGAGTATTAGATAATTCTTGTATTTGGTTATTCCATATTTACTGTGCTTTACTATCTTTTGCAGAGGTACACGACTGAAGTTCTTAAACAAATATGTGCGCGGTTGTCAACCCTTCCCTTTTTATCTAGTCACCATATTCCGCTTGCTCTGCCGCTGCATTCGTCCATTTCCTCCGACTTTCGTCATTAAGAAATGAGGCTTAAGAATTGACTTTTTAAAAAAAATAGAGTGGTATGTAATGAAATTTGAGTTGAGCTCAGTGTTTTGATCCATACCTGCAATTTCTTGTAGCCATATATCTATCTGAGAAACCTTATGTATGTATCAATGATTTTTCTACATAGTGGAGTGGTTTACTAACATGGGGTTTTTTAAATTACGGCTTTCTATGAATTGATTGTTTGGGTTAGTGTTTATAAAATGAAGTGGTGCAGTTAAATTGTTGTCATTTAAGGTTTGTGAACCAATTTGTTGCGACTTATGCATGTTGGTCGAGTAGTTTACTAATACTTTTGTCTTAATTCACAATTTACAATGAATTGATTTTGTTGTTAGCGACTTTCGAGGTGAGAAGAATGGTTGGTGTTTACAAAAGTATGTGGTGCAGTTAAGCTGCTGTGTCATTCAAGGTTTGTGGACGAATGCGCTGAAAAACGTTGTGTCTTGTGATATTATTATGTTAGTGTGTGAGGTAGGATATTTTACAATAGCTTTGGGGCTAACTTATTGATTCAATGTAATTCTTCTGTTATAAAAGGTTACTGAGTTTGAGAAATGCAGAATTAGCAATATCTTTTATAAAATAAATGAATAAAAATAGCCATTGCATGCGTTGATTTTCCAGTATTTGAATCAGAGGCACTTTTTATGAGGAAAGCTGGGAGAAGAGGAGATCAGAGACCAGGTTTTCTTTCTAGCCTGGCTCATTTCAATATTAGTAGTGAATTTTTGTTGGTTACTCTACAAATTGGCTTGGTTTATGAAATGTTTTGTGAAAATTATCCTTCTGAACCCGTCAGATATCTACACTTTATTCAATTATAAATCACAATTTTGATATTACATGGGTATGAGAAGATGTCATGATGTGCATTTATTAAAAACCATAACAATTTGGTAAAAAACAATGCAATGTATACAAGTGTATCTAATTAACCACTTATATCGCATAGATATTATCATCTCATATTGAAATTTAAACCATCATCAAATTTAAATCAAACCAATAGGTATCTAATTAACCACTTAAATTTTGTGGTTTTATTTTTTCTTTCAACTATTATATTTCTGTTTTATTTTGATTTCACAAACCAAACCGATAAGGAATTTGGTCTGTTACAACCTACAAGTGCTTTTCTGCTTGAATTTCTGAGTAATATGACAAGTTATCAATATAACATATTGCTCGAAATATTCCATGAGAACTATTCCCTCAAGTACCTTCTAGTCACTAACGAGGCATACAAATTTTCTTAATCAACAATCGGTACAGCAGAAAACAAATGTCTGTTTCTTGATTATCATAAAACTTAATAGATTATATTTGCATACTAAAAATAATATTTACCAATCTCTTCATCTTAAAATATGCCTGTACCGTTTTCCCCTAATTGCAAAATTAAATAAATCCACCCAGGACATGGATAAGCCAGACAGAACAATCAGCAAAATTAAATAAATCCACCCAAGACATGGATAAGTCAGACAGAACAATCATCATTCATCAATGCTGCCTAATAGTTATTATTGGTAAATTTATAAAATAACTAGATGGTAAATTTATAAAATAACTAGATATAGTTCGAGACAGCCATAATCATCCACAAAACACTAAAATTAATCAAAAATAGTTCAAAACAGCCAAAAGGTTTTGAACAACTTAACACTAATTAAAAACAAATTAAAAACTACTTTAGAAGTAGCCAAAAGTCTTAGAACAACTTCACATTAATTAAAAACTACTTCAGCAAAAAGTCTTACAACTTAACACTAATTAAAAACAGCCAAGAAAACTACAGAACCAGCAAAAAGTCTTAGACCAACTCCAACAAAAAATGCAGTGAAAACACTCCAATCGAATAAACGCAAAATTTTTTGTGAATTGACGGTCCAAACAATATATATATATATATACATATATTTAATTTTGTAACTATAATGTTGTTATTTTTTATTTGAATGAACATAATATATATTATTTGTTGGGTATGTTAATTGTTATTTTTTTATATAAATGTATAATAAAAAACTAGTTACGAAATATATTTGTTTCTCTAATTGATATTTATACGTGTTTTCATATTACTTGGCACAATGAAAATAATAGTAAAAAAATATGAAATATAAACAAGTAGAATTAGACATTTATATATAGGGTGTGAACATTCTATAATAGGTTTAATCAAAACATTATGAAAGTATTTGTAAATATTTCTAGTATATTCATTTGAATAAAAAATTATAAAAGTATTTGTAAAATATTTCTAGGAGATTTCTAAAGAAGTTTGAATAAATTTGTGAGAGATTAAGATACTATTGATAATAAATTCAAATATATAACCTTTTTTAAAATATAATTAAAATTTAAAATAATACTATTATATTTATCATTTAATTTTATATATTTCACAATAATAATATAAAATAAATATATTATTTGTGCGTTATAATTTTTAATTTTATCTTGTGTGATGTAATTTTCAATTTTTCATCTTGTGGGTTCTAATTTTTAATTTTATCTTACGTGTTGTAATTTTTCAATTTAAAATTGTAATGAATATTAATTTCTCTGATTTTATTATGTATATGATTATAACTTTATAATTACATCGGTCGATACAGTCCCCCAAATTGTCTCCCCCAAATCTCTCCGTCTCAACTTCCATCATCTCTCGCAAGGTAAGCTCCCTCAGTCGCCGTCCGTGATTGTGGTGGACTGCCTCCTTTCGCTCATCCATGGCCGCGACGCCCTCGTCCTCTGTCTTGACGCCACTGGGTTAGGGCTAGGGTTTCGGCGGATTCATTTTCCGCTCGAAGGCTGCCGGAATTCAGTGGAATCGGGGATTGGCGGGGTGTGGTGGTGCGTGGATGATGCTTGCGTCGCTTGAGTTGGCTTTGGTCGGGGTATTTCTTCTCGGCCAATTTGGAGGTCTGCCGTGGGTGGATTTCCGGCTTCAGGAGGGATCTGGTCGTCGGCTTCTCATTTGTGCAGTGGGGTGTAGAGGTGGCAGTCCGCAGTCGGGATTTCTCGTTGAGGTTTGGTCGATAGGATGTGGCTTCGTCTAGGCTGGGTCGGTGCGGCCGAGCAGGGATGTCTCTCGTCCCCTTTCTCCCCTTTCTCTGTTCCGGAGTTCGGGGGAGGCTGATCGTCTTCGGAGTAGGCTAATGGTGTTAGGCTGCTTCGGGATGGCGTCGGATCGGCTAGTGGTGTTAGCCGGTTGGGGGGCGTTTTGGGCTTTTTGTGGCTGGAGTGCGGGTCGATTTTTCGGTTTGTTTTTTAGGCTAGGATCATCGTCTTGCTAGGCCTTATGCAGTGGCGGGCGTGGTATCAGAGCTTCGGAGCTATCCTCGGAATCGACTTAGTCTGTCGTCCTCTTCGGATGTATTTGCTGAGGGAGGCTGTGTTGTTAGTTTAGTTGTTTTTGTTTTTTGTGTGTTCGTTTGTGTTTGTCGTTTGTGTCGGTGATTGTGTTTGTAATTGTGTTTAAGGTTTGGGCGTTTGCCCCTGTGAGCCCGAGTGTCAACTTATTATCCTGTTGGGATCTGATGCTTGGGCATTACTCTGTTGGGGTCTTTTTAGTTGTTTTAGTTGTTCGAGTTGTTGGTTAGTTTAGTTGTGAGTGTTTTATTCTAGCGTTGCTAGACGGGATTCTAGGCGGTCTCTGACCTGTCCTCCCACTTTTTCAGCTGTTGGCTGCTGTGTATTCAGTCGTTGGCTGCTGTGTATTCGCACATTTGTGCATTTTGATTTATAATAGTTCCTATCGTTTCGAAAAAAAAACTTTATAATTAAATTTATTATATAAAGTCCAAGTTGAATTTAAAATAATAGTGTGGTTTAATTTGTAAAGTTGTAAAATATGTGGGTAGTATTGAAAAGTTGTAAAAGTTGATGTGAAAGAGAATATTCCAAGAACATTCTCTTGAGTTTGAAAATAGGTTTTTCGGTTGGAGATGAATTACTGCAAAATGTGACAATTACTGCAAAATGAGTTTGAGTATGAGGTTTTCAGTTGGAGATGGTCTTAGAATAACTTAACACTAATTAAAAACAGCCAGGGAGGATCATTACTTCAGAAGAAGCCTGTCACTTGGATAAAATGTAGGAGGTTGAAAACGGGATGTGGATCTCCCGAATTCGCAGAATTACAAAACCCTTATTATGAACCGTAATATTATTTAAGTAATTAGTGGGTCTGGCCCACAGTTTGGACTGAAAATAAACAATGACTTGGGCCATATTAAAAATCTCGAAGTTCGGATTAAAATAACTCTAAAACGAGTCGAAACGGATCTAAATACCGAACAATTAATCTAATAACTAGAATAATTCTAACTAATCCATACACAAAATAACAATTAAATTTATCACTAAATAATTCAAGGATAAAGCGAATAAATTATATAAAACATAAACGAGCAATCAATAATAATAATCGAACAAGGAAATAAATAATGAAGTAGAAGCAATTAATATAATATTATGAAACACAAGTAAGCAATTTCTAAGTCCAATCCACGCATATAAGGATAATATCAAGCATTGCACATAAAAGACAAACAATAGCAGCACATAAATAAAATAAAATACATATAATTAAAATAAAATGCGAGAAATCATATCAATCGGAAGGAGCACTACAGGGATCATACTCGACGCTAACAAGTATATGATGGGCCACATATCCATTTTATAAATGCAACAACATTATTAACCAGAATTTTGAAACAACAAACTGAACTCATCATCTCCAGATTATTTTGCCCTACTCTTTTGCCTCAAGTTCCTTGAGAAAATCTGCATTGTCAACCAGAACCTATATATACACGATAAG